TAATAAAAGTTTAAAATCATAACAACTAAGAGTTATTAAAACTCTAAAATACATTTGTTTCACTACATATAAACATACRTAAGACATTTTTTTTTCTTTTTGTACTTCAAAATTGCATTGTTAAGAACTTTGTTTAGTATAAAAATTGCACTTATATATTATGAAAATTTAAACTAATAGCCGACAAATTACTGGTTAAGATAAAACCAAAACTCTTGATGATCTGTACATGCAAAAATAACTTGGAATAAACTGATAATCAGTATTGTACAGATAAAAGCAGGTATAGTATAAATTAAATTAAGAAACCTTTCAATTTGGAACAATTTTTTTTGGATTGGTGAATAACTATTTTCACTGCATAATTAAATTACTCTTCATGGGTTGCCTGTGGTTACAAACAGCGCATGCGTTGTGTCCGGTATAAGGAAAACCAAGATGGCGGCCATCAGCTCTTTGAATGACGATAAATGGTATTTTACCAAAGAACAGCTCCAAAATACACCGTCTAGACGAGCTGGATTAGCAGCAGATAAAGAACTCAGCTACAGGCAACAGGCTGCTACTTTAATTCAAGACATGGGGCAAAGACTTTCTGTGTATCCTTTGTTACAGATTTTAGTCTCTTGCTTTAACTTTTCTAAAATTCACTCCAGAAAATTTCTTAAATGACGGGCATTATCTTGTATAATGTCCTCTGACAAACAAAAAGTACTTAATTCAAAAGACAGTTTGCTTTAAATCAATAGCCAGTGATTGAATTAAGTTCCTTTTTGGAGAACAGTGTACGTGATACATCAGACAAAAATTATCTTCAAGAGCTGAGGAATTTTTTCTCATTTTTTATTGACATGACATTTATGCCTAAAAGAAACGTGTTTCTACTGTATATTTCTAGGTTTTGAGTTACAAATAATGATGTTTAAATGTTCTTTAACGGTAGTATCTAGCTCACAGCTGACTATCAACACTTCTATTGTCTACATGCATCGTTTTTACATGTTCTTCCCTTTCGCCAGATTCCATCGACATGTGAGTGTTTTCTGCTTGTTAGAGTTTTGTAATATTTAGTTGCAGTGACCAGTATCTCTATTAAGTGGACACCCTTGGGACCTCGTCTGTTTTTCCAAGCTAAAATATCATTTTTTCAATCTGTTATTGTGTTACTGTACCTTTCATGAGAACAAGGTGTATGTAGCAGTATTGGGAGAGAGATGCCAGTATATAAACCTTTATTGTTGGCTAAGAATTACCTCGCAACAGAAGGATTGCCAAAAAAAATACATATTTAATGTGTAGTTCCAGAAATTATCCATACCCCCACAGAGGAATTTGGAATTTCCAAGGGGTAGGGAGGGTCAGAGTAAGAAAAGAAATACAGAGTTTGTATGGAAGAAAATTGGAATTTCTGGGTGTGGGGTCTTTAAAAAAATATTCAGTCGGGGGGTTTGCATAATTTCTAAAACTACACGATACGGGTTTATATAGATGAGGTCGGAAGAAAAATGTATCCATATCGGCCATTGTTGCATTTACAGGATATATTTTCTCCCTGTATTGGTGATTCAAAATCATAATAACTAATAATTATGTAATTTTTTATTAGAGCTAAGCCTGGTAATTTGGGTGTTATACCACTCCTGTAATTTTCATTTCTATGGGACATGATTTATTGTTGTTTTTTTTAATAATACACTCTACAAAATTACTTAATCCTGAATGGACAAGAGGAGAATAATTAATTGTTTATTGTACTCTTTAGAGTCCCAATTAAGTTGCTCAATTTTGTTGAGTGTTTTATAAACAAAAAATGGCACTATTTCCTTGTGCAGTTCGGAATTGATAGATGATGTGAAGTTTTGCAAATTCATCCGATTTTGAAAATTTTCAATACATCACTTGTCTATCAATTCTGAATTGTACTTGATATTGTGCAATTTCCTATACTAATAGTCATGAGCTGGTGACTTGGACCCCTCTTACCGCACCTGATTTAAACTGTTTTCATAAAATAGGGAAAATAAATGTTATACATGTATGTTGTGTTATCTAGGCAATGGCTGCTTGTTGTCTATTCCTAGCGGCTAAAGTGGAAGAACAGCCTCGTAAACTGAAACATGTTATCACTGTTGCTCATGCATGTTTACACAGGGGAGCCCCTCCACTGGACACCAACAGTGAGGTTGGTAGTTAGCAGTAGTTTTTTGAGTATGACATACTACGTTTTTTGCTTGTGCATGACATTTCTAATTCATTTTTGAGGCAGTAATAAGGCTTTGTACCCACTAGCAACATTCATAAAATTCATAAGCATAAGATGACTGACATAATCATAACCATAAGAAAATGCTGGCCTATTTCTGATGTTTATGATTATGTCAGTCTTTAAGGCAGGTTATATGTAAGAGATAATTACCGAGAACGGAGGCAATAAGCCCAATACACGTATAGGATTAGTGCCGACGTTTGAGGTAATTAAGTATTTTATATATTATCAATTGAGAAGGTTTTCTATCAAATGTTGCTATAAATGCGAGGTCTATATATAGTTATTAGGCAGATTAAGATTTTTTTCTTCCCGCAAATGGCAAACGTGACCACGTTTTCATCGTTTCCCTACAATTCACTTAACCTTTTGCAAACCTTCCCGACAGACACACATATTCTTATTTTTATCTACTACTTGGAGATCATTGCGATTCCTTTTCACTAATTTTAAAGAATTTTTTAATGGTCAACTGACATTTCATGTTTGCCGTGAGCAAGAAGCTTAACCCCTCTATTAACCGGGTTAATAACAAACTATACATTGACCTCGCATTTATAATGAGGGTTATAACAAAAATAATGCCTTGTGAATAACAAAGAAAACCGTGTCAATTGAGAAATAATAAATGTTTCAGTGCAATTCCACTACGAAATAAGCGACTTGTTAGTGTCTCACAAGCAATCATTTGTTGATTCGGAAGGCAGAGGCAAGTAGTTACTTGCGAGATACTAACAGATCACAATATTTTGTTTGTTATAACCAAGTTTGATAAGTGTTTTATTATTCCAATTATTATTTTTCCATTTTTTTTCCTTTCTGTTTTTGCTGTTTTGGCTTTCTATCAATAAATTTAATAAATTGAACAATGCCTTATTTTCCACATTTGACGTCAAATTTATTCATTTGAAATTTATACAGCCTATCTTAGAAATTTATTTTGAAATATAATTTATATGTGGTGGTTCTTTTTTTTTTTAATTCAAATTAATGACAATCTTTTAATTTAATTTAAAATAAACATCAACATTTTGCTAGGAATACTTGCAGCAAGCTCAAGACCTTATTGAACATGAAAGCATTCTCTTACAGACTCTAGGTATGTACCAGCCTATAGATATACAGTATTGTTTTATAATAATAAATAAGGTTTTATTGTAGTTGATGACATATTTAGCTACTCCTATCAGGCTGATAAACCCACATAATGTGTCCTTGAAGTCTCATATGACTTGGTAGCTCAGTGGTTAGAGCATGGCACTGGAATCGCCAGAGGACACATGTTTGAATCCCTTTCAAGACTCAGAATGTATTTTGAGTCTTTCAAATTGCAGCTGCATAAGTTGCTTGATATACTGCAAGGATCAGCTTAATTTCCTACCTAGTTGATAGTCATAATTATAATTGATTTTTTGAGAAAATTGTGAACAGTAACTTCGGAAACTTGATTCTGCTTATTGGTAGTTACAAGTGAATGTTTTGTAAGAACAATAAGTAAACAAATAATTAAAATAAATAGGATTTAGCAGTGAAATTTCCTAGAGACTGGCTCTTCATTACTGTAACTGAATTCCATTTGGAATTAAGAAGTTGATTTTTGCAGAGGTGGGAAAACTGGAGGATCCAAAAACCCTAAAAACACAGAGAACCAACAAATGACTCTACTCGCATACGTAAAAGAACCCGGAGGGACTTGAATCTGGGACGCATTGATGAGAGGCAAACACTCTCAGCTCTATGTGAGCCATGCTTCCTGCACTTCATATGTACTTTGTGGAGTTGTTAGCATCAAGGATCCATTTTGTTTTTGACAGGTTTTGAAGTGAGTGTCCATCATCCACACACCTATGTTGTCAAAGGTATCCAACTAGTAAGAGGTACGAGAATCAAAATCTTTTGAAAACTAGATTAGCTCACTCAAAATCCTGCACACAAACAATGAGGCAAGAGGCTGGGGGGGGGGGGGGGGGGGGGGGGGAGGAAAGATTTTATTTTCTCACCCATACTCCGCCCTTTAAAAAATAATGAACAGTCCCTAATACTTCTTTTGAATTAATAACAATAACAACAACTATGATGAGAACTTATATTTACAACCACCACTCCCCATGCGGGGCTCTTCCGTGAGGTTCCCTCCACACACACTATCACTACATTCTATATTTACAACATACAACCCTCAACTCACATGTTACTTTTTATGGAGGGAGGAAACCGGAGATCCTGGAGAAAACCCTCGTGGCAAGGGAGAGAACAAAGCAACAAACAAACTCAACTCACATATGATCCAGTATGAGCCTGGGCTCAAACCTGGACCACAGTGGTGAGAGGCGAGTGGTAAAGCACTACACCACCCATGCCACCCATGCTACAACAATGACAACAATAATAATAATAATAATGATGACATTCTTATAGCTCATTTACCACTTCTCAATGCACTTATGAAGTTACTGTTGAGATAAAAACAAGAGTTCAATTATATTTTGAATTCTACTGTTTTATTGCAATATTTATATATATAAATCCATATTTTGTTAGGCTTTCCGATTGCAATGTGTGTCTCATTTTCTCCCCATTATACCTGATCATTTTATTTGATAGTCATTGTTATATGATGATTTTCACACACAGCAAGTAAAGATCTTGGGCAAGCTTCATATTTTATGGCAACAAACAGGTAGGGTATATAGCTGCTATCTCTCTGACTTTACAACCCCTTGAAATGGTGTGCGTAGAGAGAGAAGGCTTAGGCTCAGGTAAAACTTCCGATTTCACGTGAGCCGAACCTAACTGTATATGGGATCAACTCATATAATTACGTTCGACTGACTGAGTCAAACGTCGAACTTATGGTACGTAGATCTTAAAACGAATAAAACCAAAGCAAATCTTGTTTAATGTTTATGCAGTCAGCAGTTACACCATCATAATGCCAGTGCATAATCAAATCATCAGCTGTAGCAACAATGTTGAAAAACAATTGTTAATGGTGCATGCGTGGTGGCAAAGAATAATTAAACTAACAATCTCGTACCCAGAGCCTGCGTTTCTTCTGGCCTAAGCGAAAAACGAGGGCTCTGGCATAATCTATTTTTTCAGACCAGGATTTCTTAGACTTCCAGTATAACGGCGCACGCGTTCAAAGACTTGCCAAAAATTAAAAATATTTTTCCCCGATTCTTAATTTGTACTATGATTTTTACTTTGATTTTTAATTCGATTTGATTTTTACATTTCTTATTTTGACCGTTTATATTTCACTTTCCGAAAATTGCGCATGCGCCAAAATATGGATTATGCCAGAGCCCTCGTTCTTCGCCGCAGGCCAGAAGAAACGCAGGCTCTGGGTACGAGATTGTTAAACTAAGTGCAAAGCATACATTAACATGATTTATGCATTTAGAACAGCTCATGTGAGGTTCGACGTTTGACGTCGATCTACAGTCGTTTTTCCCGAGTGAGCTAGTCGTGAAGATCGACTTAGTCGGTCCAAATTCAATCGGTCGAACTTAATTGGGTTCAAGATTAGCATGTATAAGACTAAGAGCAAGTAAGATTTTAATTAACTAAAGCAGAGGAAACTAAAAGCTGTACATTCAATGGACCAAATCCACTTAGGCATAATGTTTTTCCATTTTAGATCATGGGTCATTCCCTAGAGTTTCATTCCTTTGTTTGATGGTTGTGCATGAAAAGACACATGGATATGGATACAACTCAAACAAAGAATCTCATTCTCAAGGAAACACCTAATAGGGGTAGATTAAAAATTGTTTTGGGGTGGCTTTCCCAGTGTATATAGAGATATTATACATCGCTTCAAAAAATACTAATGAGTAATTACGGCTTTAGGGGGGTCCAGTGCACCACAGGCCACCCCCTGGATCTTCCCCTGCACATGGTCGGAAATGGGAAAACATTACGCTCAAGTGAATTTGGTCCATTCATTTAATTACCTTTTTTTAAAGAAAGGAAAATGAAAAATGAAAAATTATTTCATTTTAATTTCCCTGTAGCTTGCATCTGACCACATTATGTTTGCAATACAAGCCTACCGTGATTGCTTGTGCTTGTATACACCTCGCTTGTAAATGGTGCAACTATGAGGTAACTTACTATAGTAGAGTGCATACCATATATCTCTGAAAATCTTTAAAAGAAATTTCACAAATTTGCACGAAAATTAGTAAGTTCAGTTGTACAATATTTTTAGTTATCTTTTTCATGTATATATGGTGTGCACTTTACTGAACACTCAAATATATAATGGTACTCAATTCTTGATTTACTATATTTATATATAACTATTTTTATGAACTATTTATTTACCCTTTGGCCACCCAGACACCCCTTCATTGCATTTTAAGCATGGGTGGCGTAACGGCGAGAGCGCTCGCTTCTCACCAATGCGACCCGGGTTCGAGTCCTGCAGATGTCGATGTCGTATGTGAGTAGAGTTGTTTGTCGGTTCTCTCCTGTGCTTCGAGGGTTTTTTTCCGGGTTCTCCGGGTTTCCTCCCTCTGCAAAAATCAACTTTTGAATTGCAATTGGAATCCAGTGGAAGAAGAGTCACTCAGACTTGATGTGTTCGCATTTTTACTCTTTTCATGAAGTCCAAGCTCGACTTGTTGCCACTAAATTCGGAAAGGGTCTACATGTATTTCACTCTTTATCAGGATAATTATTAGCCTGAGAAAACAGACGATCTTTCTTCGTCGTTGTCGCGATCCCTGCAACCCCCCCCCCCCCCACCGGAGAATTTACTTTTGTGGGGGGAGGGGGGTGGGGGTGAAAGGTTGTCTGTTTTTCTCAGGCTAGAGAATCATGAAGTCCTCAACCTCTTAATAGTGGGTTTGGGTGAGGTTAGACAGTTAAACCTGAAACTGTTGCATGATTGTGCTTCAGATTCCACCATCTAGTGATAACAAGCAATGGTGGCAATACCTGAATGCTGCTGTAACCAAGGAAGTGTTGGATGGTGAGCAGATACTCTAATATTTATGCAACTGTGATAATGATGGTGATGAATAGGGGGATGATGCTGATGATGACGATTAAAGGATGGTGACAACGAGGATGATGATGGTGGTGATGATGACGATGGTGGTGATGATAACAACGAGGATGATGATGACGATGACGACAACGAGGATGATGATAATGACGATGATGACAACGAGGATGCTGATGGTGACGATGACGACAACGAGAATGATGATGGTGACGATGATGACAACGAGGATGATGATGGTGACAACGAGGATGATGATGGTGACAACGAGGATGATGATGGTGACAACGAGGATGATGATGGTGACAACGAGGATGATGATGGTGACGATGATGACAACGAGGATGATGATGGTGACGATGATGACAACGAGGATGATGATAATGACGATGACAACGAGGATGATGATGGTGACGATTAAAGGATGGTGACAACGAGGATGATGATGGTGACGATNTGACAACGAGGATGATGATGGTGACGATTAAAGGATGGTGACAACGAGGATGATGATGGTGACGATGATGACAACGAGGATGATGATGGTGGCGATTAAAGGATGGTGACAACGAGGATGATGCTGTTGATGTTGACAACGAAGATGATGATGGTGACGATGCTGACAACGAGGAGGGGGAAGGGGGGGGGGGGGGGGTGCAAGGCTGGGACAAGCCTACAGAGTAATGCTCAGTATTGATGATGGTAAGGGGCGAGGTCAAAGCAATGGTCCAAAACAAGGGCCCGATTTTATGAATTAAGGTGGTGGGTACCGGTACATATCCCCTCCCTCCTCAGAGACCTGTTCAAATGTTCGACACTGGGGGTATGTAGTGGCAGTTTCTATACAGAAATATGTTTTTTAGCATACATGCAGTCAGACAATCCATTTCTGTGATTTGGCTTTTAGTTGTGGAGATATTTGGTTAAAAAAATCTAAAATTTCACTTCGAGAGGAGGTGGATACCGGGTTGCACCACCCCTCCCCCCTAAATCGGGTACCGTGAGATGACAATTGTTTTGCCTTCATCCCTAATGACATGATCTTTGCATGTGTAAAAGGTGATGATGAGATTGATGATGAAGCTCTTATGTTTGCCTTATAGAAATAGCCCACGAGTTTATTACCATCATAGAAAAATGCCCTAGTAAGCTGAAGAAGAAAATCAATTCTATTACCATGTTAAAGGTAGGACGACTACTTTGGTATCAGTCTAGATCAGCATTTTTATTATTGTCAGAAGATTAAGTCTGCAAAACCATACTCGACTTCCTAGGAATAACCTTTGGTTTTTAAACATATTAAGTATAATCTTTAAAAAACCTTTCACATTTTATCGCTAACCTAATTCACAGATGGAATTGGAATTTAGCTGATTAGGTTTTACGGAGGTATGGTACACGACGTTCCTATACCTTTCGGGAATGATACGAAAACGTTGGTAGAAATGCTAGTCAGTTTACTACTGAACAACGTTATAATCGAATCTACAGCACTCATTTCTACTGATCCTTTTGAGTTTTATAATGCGATTTTGAACATTTTATCCCGGAGAGCCTTCGTGCTAGAGTTTGAATACCTCGAACTTGGAGAACTGAATGACGGAAGCCAAAAACACGAATGCATTAAATTTGTCCGGATGGGTAATTTAAAACAAAATAAGCAAAACGACAACAACAACAACAACAAAACAAACAAACAAAAACAAAAAAAGAACAAAAAAAATACACAGTTTGGTAGAGTAACTAGAATTACACAGAGTAATTTTCATCTAGGCCTTTTCTAGATTAGGATTTAGAAGTTGATTTTTTGCGGAGGGAGGAAAACCAGAGAACTCGAGAAAAGGAACAAACTCTACTCACATACGACGAGTCCGAGGATCGAGCCCGGGTCGCATTCCATTCGCATTCCGCCACCCATGCTTCCCGCCATAAAACGTTTAACATCTTTTAGAATAGCTTAACATTTAATTCGGTTCTAATGTGTGTGATTACCTCCAGGGTTCTAATATACCTCGACCGTTACGACCCAATGATCAACCAACAAGTAGCACGGCTCTGGCTTCCAATGGACAGGACGGCGAGAGTAGCTCTTCGTCTCTTGTCAACGATATTGCACGAAAATACAAAGAACACGACGACCACAATGAAATCCCAAAAGGATCCGAAAAGAAAAACAAAGCAAAAGCAGAAAATGCCAATCACAGTGAAAGAAATCTCTTGAAAACGAGTAGCACTGTCACGTCTGAAGGAGCAAGTGTTGCTACTTCGACGACTGTCGTGACATTGCCCGTTCTTCCTCCGTTGACTACCAAGTACGCAGCACCTACGACATCTTCTGCAAGTCAGCCTGCGTCTGTTAATGACCCTAAAGTATCGACCACAAGCGCGCTGCCTAGTTCTTCAAGTGGTGTACCTAAACAAAAGCATCGCTCTTCTTCGCATGAGGATGGGACCCCATCAAAGAAGCACAAATCGCATCATTCTTCAAGTCGTTCCCACGCCTCGCATTCAAGTCACAAGGGGAAAACTTCTTCTCATTCTTCAGATTCCTCATCGCCGGGGAAAAGACCTCATGGCAAGCCAGGTCATCCTTCAGCCTCTTCTTCCCACAAAAGCTCCAGCCTTTCATCAAGGCATCTTCATCATCATCACGCCCAACAACCCGTCCACTCAAGTCACAAAGGGCATTCAACACACCGACCAAACCCTCACCACTTACAGTCTCACTCGTCAAGCCTCAAACTTATTCCACCATCGCCAACGTTAGGATTATTGGACAAAAAAAGACTTTCAGGTTCTAATAAACCCTCACCACCGATCCCTAGGGATCACGATACACTCCCCCCTCCTCCCCCACCCCCACTCCCTCCATCTGATAATCATTCTATGAGTTCCAGTAGTAATGTATATGGAAGTCGTGAGCAACTTGCTCCCCCACCACCCCCTCCCCCAGAACCGGCGCCAAAGTCTCCACCACCGCCTCCCCCACCACCTTTTTGATCTGTCGGAGTGCCCTTGGTTTCCGTTACAACACGGTTAGATTTGCGTATTTCGAAAGCCAAATCTATGCCCGTTGCCTTGTATTGAAACTGAATATCTGCATTATGATTTTTGGGAATAACTGAATTGTATCCTTAAATTAAATTGCTTAAATATGCATTGTTGTTTTTCTTGCTATATTTTATCAGGAATCCGAGAAAAATTCACGAGAAATCAAATCGTACCTTGTTTAGAACACTTTGATTTTGATTTGGAAACATCTACTGTAGTAGCTCATAAAACGTTTGTAACATTTCCCGCCTTGATAACGCCGACTATGGCAGCCTTCTCCACGAAGACTGCCATCATTCTCGTTTCCAGACCCTACTCAAGCCAAATCGTAGGCTCTGGGAAACCCTACTGACCGGAAGCAGGGCGAGAGGAGGAAGCCTTTTCATAGTTTAAGAATCGATTCCACTGCGCAGGCGATTTTATCCCGAATTTCTCACCTTCTTTTGTCTAAACCTTCTTTTGTTCTTAATTAAACAAAAGAAGGTGAGAAATTCGGCTTATTGGCCGATCCGTGATGCGGAGAGTAGGACTGGGCACTACTCTGACTGTCAACAATGGCGGACTGTTTGTGGAGGGAGTTCGGCTGAGAAGAAGATCTTTCAAAGGTAAATTTGGGCTTTTTTAGTCTTAGCAGACGGAAAGAGAGAACAATTCGAGTCTGCTTTGTCTTTTTTCTTTGCGTTGTGATTTTTTTTTTCTTTGTGTTGTGACTTTTTTTTTGTTTCAGCGTTTTGCTTTTTTGTGTGTGTGTTGTCCCTTCTGGGCCACCGTACATTTTAGATTAAACTGTTTCGCTAGAAGCAAATTTTGTTGAATTTTCTATTGGATTTGGCGATTCTATACACCACATAAACAAGCAGTGACGTCGTAGTGAAATAGGGCAATTATTTTGTTGAATTCATCCAAGATGGGGGCTGCGACGTCATGTGCAAACGAACTGATGTTGTTTGCTCGAAGCCAGTCTCCTAAAATCTCCCAATTCATAGCTCCGACTCAGAAAATAGCGAATTAAACACCGCTGCAGCAGAGTGTTTCAATGGAATTTTTAAATTAAAAATCTTGTCCCACAAACAAGTACACAGTAGCACTACAAGGATTACGAGGCAAATTTCTATTCTCGCATGACATGCCGTAAACTATTGAAACAATTATAATATATTCTAAATTTTTAAGTTTTAAATTTTAGATAGTTTGTTAAGGTTGAGGGACAAAGCAACGATAACAAAGGGGATTCGAAACCATGCGGAGAGCGCTTCATTCTGCATCATCATACACTACCTTTATTGCGCAAGTAGCGAGCAAGTTTTCACCATCCAACTACATAGCTAAAAGACAGTCTAAAATGCATCGTACGACGAAATGAAACACATTTTAGACGATTGTAAGTATTAAACTTTATCTTGAAACGGTATTTGAAAAAGCTGAAGGAAAAAAACTGATAAAAATTGTAGTTCAAAAATCCCAGCTACTTCAAACAAATTCCCTGAACGGCCGCGAAGTCAGCCATGACGCCACAGTAATAAATAAGAAACCTTTGCCATGTTCTTCATTAGAAAGAAAATATTAGATAATCGTATGTTTGTGCCTATCAAATGCATAACAAACGTTCTGGAGCAAATAATAAACGTTCTGAAGGCTAATCAGGAGTATTACGAGCTCACATTCTAAATTATTCGGCACATAGATAGTAATTATCACAAATCCTTATATCGCAACGCTGAATTCAAAAGGGAATCGGATATTTGCAGAACATCAATAGCTGTACGTTAGATTATATTGAAACTTCAAATTTAAGATGTTAATATCATGGACTCCATGTATAGCGCAAATACAAATCATGAAACGTAAGTAAATAATTTTTATGAAAATCTCTTCGCAAGCATTGCTTCTTCTTCTAGTTTGGCTTCAACTTTTCTTTTACACACGATAACTTCATCATTGGCCGGAAGCAACTGGTTCTAACTCTTCAGGATAAACAAATCAAAGTAGCGTCCAAAGGACTTTCGAACATTTGAAAAGGTATCAAAGATTTTTTTTAAAATCAACTATTTAGAATGATTCTTTTCACGATAACGCGTTTGAAACATCAAATAAACTTCAGTCAAAATGATACTAACATGAATGGGTTGAATGTATGACGTCACAGCTTAAAACCGAAAATAAATCGTAAAATTTTGGCACTTTTCTTTCGAATATCAAAAAGAAATTTCGGTGAGTGATTAATTATGTATCCAACATTATTTCAGGAAGGTTCCAGCTCGAATGAAAGAGTTTTAATTTTGGAGCGATTTTCGTCCAAGTGCCACTTTAAGTCTGCATGTAATCTTTGGCTGCAACTCATTTTTATTTTTCGAGCTACCGACTCAAGCATAATCACGATAATTCTTCTTCCGCAAGCTTCCCGGCATTTCACTTTAGTTTTTGCAATACTTCTCACCGAAGACAAGTGTCCCTCTATTCATCTCATATACAGTCAACTTTAGTTACAGCAGACACCGTTGGGACCGTCACTTGGTGTCCGTATTTAGCGAGCGTCCGCAATACCGAGGATTAATCACTACAGTTAGGTTATTTCTTTGCCAGTATTTTTCGCTTGGGAATTTTCTCCTGTCCGCAATAACAAGGTGTCAGTAATATCGGGGTGTCCGCAAGGCGAGGGTTGACTGTACGGTAGACAGAATTTTAAAAGAATAAAGTCAAACTGAATTCAAAATAATACACGATTATGAATAAACATCTTTAATTTTAACTCAAGTACAACGCGGGGAAAAATATTCCTAAATGCTCTTTAAAAACTATTCTAGTGAGGGTTGAGAGATTTTTATTCGTAGCCCATTTATGATTCTTGTTTGTATCCGCAAGTCTTTCCATTGTCGAGCTCCAGTTCACATCTTTCTGTAAAGAGAAACATTCAGCATGAAATAAATGGTGTTCCTTTTCCACTGATATCGATACATGTTATGCACTCTATTAGCCTATCAATTCTCCCCTCCCTCTTTATAAATTTGAATCGTAACCCCGACTCCCCATCTATTTCCCCTTGTTTCCCCAATTCTGCTGGCGAACAAAAAAAGAGCCGCCATTTCAAAACAACGTTGTCGGTCGGAATTGTGGGTTGTAAGCTGTAAATTGTTCGTGGTTTTCATAAGTAGTTCGCAAAAAGTTAATATCTTGATAAACTAACTTTGAGTGATGACCTGCACTGGCAAACTATCTGGGTAAATGTATATTGAATTTTTAACGAGAAAACACTCAGTCCCCAACAATTCCAATCGGTCTCAGATTTCTGATTTCAGATTTCCAACCGACGTTTTTTGAAATAGGTGTATACAAGTATCAGCATAACACTCACTGCTTGTTTATGCGTTGCCACAGTAACGAAGATGACATACTGGGGTCGGGCGTAGGTAGAACACATAGTATCGACCGCAGTTCTTGACTTTGATGGGGTTATTCCATTGGCATTTGCTTTTCCCCCAGTGATAACACACTTTACGGACGACTGTCTGGCCTCTAATTGCTGGATAACTTCCCACCATCCAACCAGTAGCATGGGTACCACAGCGATTTTTAGGTGGAGCACTGGTTGGCATTCTGTTACCAGCAAGACCCGTGAATCGATACCAACGGGTGATAAAGCCTTTCTGGTCGCAAATCGCCCGTGCATTTCCCCTGGGTAGGGACTGTCTTCGGTTCCGTTGGTTTAGGACAGCATACTTTCTGCAGGGATCGTTAACGTTTGAACCTGAAGGCAATGAGACAATTGATATAATAAATTTGCACGATCGAAAAAATAAAAATAAAATAAAATAATTAAATGAACTGATAAATATCTGCAGGTTGAAGCAATTCTATGCTATGTGTACCTATTATCCTTTTTTTAAATATCCACCGAAAACGTTCACAGAAATATGGGTCCTCTTTTCCCTGATAATTCCTTCAGAAATCTAATCATTTCTTGAAATGACAATGTAAAGGAATAAAAAGTGAAAATATAAAAAWTCGAAAACACAAAGAATATATGTTACAACTAGGTAGGAGGGATTAAAAAATAGCTATCGTTAAAAATCAATCTGTATACTAAATCAAACTTAGGTCTTATCAATCACAAACGTTTATTGTAAAATAATATGCGGACGATTGCATGGACTTGAGGAGCTATATATCTTCTAATAAATGGTTACTAGGCTCTCTTTTCATAAGTCTAGTGTCATCTTAAAGTGAAAATGAACCCTTTGGCAATACATTCAGTACTGGTTCTGCATAAGGGAAATAGTTGATTGGTAAAGTATTTTTTGATTTGAGTGATGCGTCTCTAAGTTATGAAGGTTCATACTTCCACTATGTTAATGATGATGACGTCA